ACACACACAGCAAGTGGTAGAGCCAAGATTCAGATCAAAGCAGTATGACTAGAACTCTCTTTCTTAGTTGTTACTTATTTAAATACCATTCAATATATAAGAAAAAAGATTGTCCAAATGAGGACATTGAATGGAAAATGTTGTGACTTATGCTTAAGACTGCTTTTTGGGGGCTTTAGACATGTGTGGCTTCCGATCTTGGGGTTGTGGGCTTGAGCCCCATGTTATGTAGACATTATTAAAAAAATCAACCTTCAAAAAAGTAGAATCATTTTCTTTATGCCCTTTTTTTTTTTTTTTTTTAGTTGTGGGTATCATTTCTTCCCCTCCCAAAATGACTGTCTAAATTCCCTATAGGAAGTGGGAAATACCACACATATAAATAATACTGCCTCCTTCCTCGCCATGATGTATTAATCCTTCTGTGTGTCTCCCCAGTGGCTGCCATCTAGCAGCAATTTAACCATTTTAGCTGAACTTATACTTGAAATGTGTCAGAGGAAATTCTTCACAGATGTAATGTTTGGGTTGCTCTTTTCTAATTCTCTAATATCTCCTGGCCTGGCTTGTAATGAGGCAAGCAAGGCTTATTTAAGTTTTGTGGTCTGTTTTTGTTTCAGTTTGCTCTTTTGTGTATGGAAAAAAAGTAACTTGTCAAAAAATTGAATTTCATTTGAATAGAAATGTATGTAATCTTAAAATAGTTTCACTAAAACTTTCTGATTCTTTGTTGTTTTGATCTCTAAAGTCACCTCCGATTTTTTGTGTGTATAGTCACAAACAGTTTTGAACAAAATCCTTATTGAAATAACATTTAGTCCTTGTTTGATTTCTCAAAACATGGCAAAAAAGTGAAGATTAATGACTTAGTAGCTGTGTATAAAGAATGATTTACGCTTGTATGAAGCCGCAGCTGCCTGACTTCGCCAGGCGATTCGCGTCCGCGGAGTTCGAGCTCGCTGAAAGCTCTGGCATTCAGGATTGGAGCTGTTTCCGATCTTTGTGTTCCTTCACCATTTGCCCTCTGTCCCAACGAATCCTGAAAAAATAGCGGTTTGAAAAAAAAAAAAAAAGAACGAATTTCTGACAGTGGACTGCCAACTCAATGAACCCTTCCTTTTTTTTTTTTTTTAATTTTTTTTTTCAACGCTTATTTATTTTTGGGACAGAGAGAGACAGAGCATGAACGGGGAGGGGCAGAGAGAGAGGGAGACGAGAATCGAACAGGCCCAGGCCCGGAGCCATCGCAGCCCAGAGCCTGACGCGCTCGAATCACGGAGATCAGACCTGGCTGAAGTCGGATGTTTAACCTGACCAGCCACCCAGGCTCAATGAACCTTCTTAAAGGAGGAAAATAGGCTTTTTTTTTTAACAAGCTCTAGGCTCAGCGTGGGGCTTGAACTCAACCCGGGAGATCAAGAATCGCGATGCTCTACCCACTGAGCCAGCCAGATGTTCTCCAAAAATAGACCACTTTAACTTGTCTGGGAAGGTTAGAATGAGTTTGTATGTGCTGTTATTTTCCTCACTACTTTTGCTTTTTTATTTTGGTGAAAATACCTGAGAAACTTGTAAGATGCTTTTTCAGCTCTTTCTTCCTGTGTGTTCTTTTTAGAAGAATTCTCAGGAAGATCCTTGTGTGCTCCACAAGGCACCTTCCCAAGGATTCTATTTGATCCTGAAAGCCAAGAATTGTAACAAGCTCCTAAGACATTCCAGCAGCCTGGGCCAGATTGCTGGTCTAGGGCACATTTTTTAAGCCTGTTCCTTGTGACAAAGCCAATCTAGTATTTCTCCTGGATGTCCCTGCAGGCATAACATGGGGAGGGAGAGAGGTCCTGATGTTCTTCCTTGGGCTGCCACTGGGTTTGTTGCTGTGTATGTTCCTGCACAATGCTAGGTACAGGTCTATCACTGCCACTTTGAAAAAACAGGAAAAATAATAGCTTATTTTTAAGGAATACTTGTTAGTGTAAATGTACGGTATGCTCTTTATATTTTTTTTAGTAGGGGATTGTCTTGTCTGTTTTAGCTGCTATGACGGGATGCCATGTACTAAAAGCTCGAAACAACAGAAACTTACTTTTTTCACATTTCGGAGGCGGAAGTCCATAACAAGGCACGGTAGATTTGGTGTCTGTGAGGACCTGCTTCCTGATTTACAAACGGCTGTCAGTCTAGCTGCTTCAAGGTGAGCAAGTGAGCTCTCTGAGGGTATTTTTTATATGGGCACTAAACTCCTGCTCTCATGGGGGGCTCCACCAGAGGACCCGACATCTCCCAAAGGCCCTACTTCCAGAGGCCATTACATGAGGGATTAGGTTTCAACATTATATCCTTGTGGGGAACACAAACATTGAATCTATAGCAGGACCATTTGGGTCCACACACACACACACACACACACACACACACACACAGCAAGTGGTAGAGCCAAGATTCAGATCAAAGCAGTATGACTGTAGAACTCTCTTTCTTAGCTGTTACCCTCTATTTATACCAGTCACCATTCAATAAGTATAAGAAAAAGATTGTCCTGTCAAATGAGTGACATTGAATGGAAACTGGTATGTTGTGACTTATGCTTAAGATCGTTTTTGGGGCGCCTTTGTGACATGTGTGGCTCTTGATCTTGGGGTTGTGGGCTTGAGCCCCATGTTGGGTGTAGACATTATTAAAAAAAATCAAATCTTCAAAAAAAGTAGAATCATTTTCTTGCGTTCCTTTTTTTTTTTTTAGTTGTAAGGGTCATTTCTTCCCCCTCCTTAACAAAATGACCTGTCTAAATTCCCATATAGGGAAGTGGGAAATACTAATACATATAAATAATAATGCTCCTTCCTCGCTGCGATGTATTAATCCTTCTGTGTGTCTCCCTCAGTGGCGTCATCTAGCAGTACTTAACTATTTTAGCTGAAACTTTATACTTGAAAATGTGTCAGAGGAAATTCCTTTCACAGATGTAGTCATTTGGGTTGCTCTTTTCTAATTCTCTAATATCTCCTTGGCCTGGCTTGGGGGAGAGGTTTGAGGCAAGTAAGGCCTTAGTTTAAGTTTTGTGTCTGTTTTTGTTTCAGTTTGCTCTTTTATGGAAAAAAGTAACTTGTCAAAAATTGAATTTCTATTTGAATAGAAATGTATGGTAATCTTAAAATAGTTTCACTAAAACTTTCTCTGATTCTTTGCTGTTTTGATCTCTAAAAGTCACCTCCCGATTTTTGTGTATAGTCACAAACAGTTTTGAACAAACTTTATTGAAATAACATTAGTCCTTGTTTCTGATTTCTTTTGTCTCTAAAACATGGCAAAAAAGTGAAGATTAATGACTTAGTAGCTGTGTATAAAGAAATTCGACTCTGGGGGCGCCTGGGTGGCGCAGTCGGTTAAGCGTCCGA